CAGCAGGATTGTTTTTTAGATGGGAAAGGGGAGCTGATGGCTGGGAGCTAACTACATGTGCACAAGCCTGTAGTGATACAAGGAAGCTAAATCTCTGTTTCCCACCCCCCGCCAGCTTTTTACCTGGATGGAACCATTAAAATTAGAAATGATTTTGCTACCTTTGAATTGTCACAGGCTCCTGAACATGGACCAGGGAGAGCATAGCAGCTGCTATGCAGTGCCTGAAGGCTTGTCCATGCTCCTCTGTTGCCTTCTTTTATAAAGCTTGTTTTCATATTTAACAGTGTGTGTATATGAAGTTTGAGAAGTCACCTTTTAAACTATAAGAGAAACCATTTAAAATACCAAGTTTATGTTAATATGAGGATTAAGTTTATCTTCAGATAAGCAATGATTAAAATGAAATAAATGTAGGTTATGGCTTACTTGCCTTTTAGAGTTTTAGTTAGATCTGAAAGTTATTTGTGTCTTTGAATTAAATGCAAAGTTCACGGTAATGTGGAGTGTACTCAACCCGCATCATGAACTAAGAAGAATATTATAATTTCTTGAGCTGTGACAAGATTAAATTGGAGTGGTGACACAGATCCTGACATGGCAGGATGAAAACAGAGAATTAATTTATTTTATTGTTTTTAAATCAGGATGAGATGTTCTATGATTCTCTGCCTGGTGACATCAGTAGGAGTACAGAAATTTTAAAGATTGCTGTTATCTTCCGTTTTCTTTTGTTAAATTGCCTCTATTGACCAGAGAAAACAACTTCTGACTGGAACATAATTAATTCCATTAGGTCAGTTTTTCTATGGAAAAGCGTTCCTAACAAAATGTTAATGAAAATATTTGCAGTTTCAATTACCTTTTTCTCCTAAGCTGATCAAAGTATCACAGACTTTCCTCCGGTAATAAAATAAAAATTACCTAATAAGAATCAAATTATTACGACAGCAAAAATTACTTCAAGATGACAATCTACTATACCTATCTTGCTGAGACCTATGATGCATATCTATCATGGTGTTTATAGTAATGTATTAAACTAGCAAAAATTTTTTTTGAGATAATAATATACTGCATGTTGACAAGCATTTTATATTCATTATTAAGCCTACCAAATTTTATATGCTGCAGTTTATAGTTTCAGCAAGTTTAACATTTGACACAATGATTTTGCTATGATTGCCTATACAATGCTGTCAAAAAAGCTTTCTAAATTATATATACTTAGTGATTTATGGTCATATCTCATTGAAAATCCTAACACTGCAAATAGCTTACTGTGAACTTCTTTAAAAAAACCCCAAAAAACTAGTGATGGGTTTGCATGCCTGCAGAGGAAAAATTCTGGTGTCTTCTACTGAGTAACACAATGGAGCACAGGCCACACAAATCACAACCCCACTCGCGAAAAAAAATGGCCATCTAAGAAAAATAGTTCAATTATTTAACTGTATTTATATTCAGCCAAAGGATTTTGAGAATATATACTTGTTCACTGGGATGTTTTTACATTTTCCACTTATGCCAAAAGGTAGCAGGGTCTAAGAAATATAGATGACAAAATCTGTTCAGGATTTACTAATAGGATGACAAATAGCAGTGTTCATGAGGTACATGTATTCCAGAGCATTTTTCTTCTTCTGAAACTGAACACAATGAAGCATGTAATTTTTTTTGCAAGGAAAGCAAGCATTTGGTAAGGAGAATTGTTCTCTCATCATGATAGACTGCCTGTGTAAAAACACAGGCTGTCCTTCTATTTGGGAGCAGATTCTGGGCTTTTATATTGCAGGTGAACAACTGATGATGTATATAGCATGACTTCTGGCTTGTGTGTGTGTTCAGGAGAATTTTTTTAGCTTTTGAAAGCAAAACCTTTCTTGAAAGCCTGGAATGACTAACTGGATCTCTTAATACAATTCACAAACATGTATATTACAGGACTTGGCATCATAACATTATTGGGGGAAAAAGTAACAACATCCTGGGATGTATTAACAGGAGCACCACATACAAATCACAGAAAATTATTTTCCTCTCTATCAGAACTGGTGAGACATCTCTGTTTCATTTTGGGTGGCATAAAGATGCAGACAAATTGGAAAGTGCAGAGGAGAACAGCAGAAATTATTAGAGGTCTAGACACCATAACATACACAGAAAGTTTGGGAGAATTAGGATTATTTAGTCTAGAGACACTGGAGGGGGAATCTGATTAGTCTTGATATATAAAAAAGGTTGTTATAAAGAGGGAGGTAATCAACTGTTCCATAGGCCTCACAAGGCTGTAAACCAGTGGTTCCCAAGTTAGTTAAACTCAAGTCATGTTAAACAGATGTTACACTTCTCTGGGAAGAAAGCTTTCTGTTCCAGAATCCAACAGATGTTCGCACACACAGGTATTGCTTCAACCACCTGTGAAATATGTCAGCTAAAACATGCTTAACACTTCTTCCTGAAACATCACTATGTGGGTCTGCAAGTTAATTGCTGCTCATTTAACTTAATTGCAGTTCATTCCAGGGACAAGCAAGTCAGGCTGTGTGCCCTCTCAGGCCACCTACTCAGAAGAGCTGTGTGTGTAAAGGACTGTCACTCCTGTTTTGATCCAAGTAAAAACCTGGAACAATCAGGATGGCCTCAAATGAGATGCCTGTTTAGAGCCAAAGGGACAGGACAGGAAGTCAATTGGAACAAGAGAGATTTAGGTTGAATCTTAGGAAAGACGTTCTAGCTATGAAAGTGGTTAAGCACTATAATGAATTATTAGGGTGACTGTGGAATCTATCACTGGAAGCTTTTAAGTACAGGGTAGACAATATTTGTCTGGGATGGTGTGAATGGGAACATCTTGATCAAGGATTTGAATAGCTGACCCTCTCTGTAGTCTCCTCTGCAAGATTTTTAAGTGGATTTTTATATCCTGTTAGAAAATACATGTTTATGAAAACATGCACAGCCATGATGTTGAATTATTTGCATCTACAGGAGCTGTTGTGAAAAGATTGAAAGCATTTTGGGATGTTTAAGCAATCTCTTGCTAATATACACTGAAATTATATCTAGCCTGTTTGGGGTTTTTTTAAGGCTGGATAGGCATCTGGCTGGGG